GCGGCGTACACTTGTTTCACCTTTTCGAAAACGTCATCTGTCGCCCTTGCCAACAACATGTAGGGCCCGAGGGCGTCAGACCACTGGCCGCTCCACTGAGTAGTAAGGGACATGTCAATCAAATTACGAATCCCGGTCAAACGAAGAGCCTCTCCCGCAAACTTTCTATACTCTGCATTTTTCACTTCTGCCGCTGAGCCGCCTTTAGCTTCAGGACAGTTCGACTCGTGGCACAACTTCTGTATGTTCTGGACGACCACGTTCTGGTGCGGTGGGGTATTCCATTTGTCCTTGGAGTTCTGGAAAGTGCTCAGCGTGTCGTAATTGTCCATGCTCTTATCCGGATAATAAACAGGCCTCGCAGTCCAGCGATCCAATCGGAGCTCTTGTGCGATGTCAGGGCGTTCAACAAAACACCTTCTTGCCGCCGCCATGTTATGCTGACCGCTGAGAGGGTAGTAGTAGTACTTGTTCACAGATTCGAGATCGAAATCAACGGGCAGCACCCTCCTTGCTCTCACAATCCTCCCTGAAGCGTCAGTATGCAATGTATCACGGAGGGCAACCAACAAAAGGACATGCTTCTCATACAACGTACAGACATTCACACCGGCAGCTTCAGTCATTCTCTCTCTCATAGCAGCCTCACCCGATGCAATCATTGCGTCATAAATGTCGTCAACCGTCTGCTGCACAAGATAGCGTTGATTGTATCTGAATTCCCCGTCGGGAATATCCAGAATTATGTCGAACTGGACAAAAATGAATTTCATGTCTGGACATTGGTTCCCATGCTCGTCCAACTCAAGGAAAAAACCTTTGCTAAGAACACCAGAAGAAGTCACTGATGGCACATTTCGCAAACTTGGCAGCCTAGTAACTGTCTTGCCTTTGGCCTCTTCATCCGATTGTGGTTGTTCCGCTGGAAAAACAGAAGTTTTTTCCATAACACCACCTTTTGCCTTTCTTTTCTTTGGCTGCTGCTTTTTCTTCGCGGCTGCCTCAGTCTACCACGTTCGCTGGACCGCCTCATCTACGGGCATTATTTTCAATCGTCTTTTTTCACCCGCTTCTTGCCTACTCCGTTTATTATCCATAAGACTTTTCCTCTTCCGCCTGTGCTTCCTCTTTCGCTCAGCGAGCCCTGCAGCATCTGTATGCTCAGCCACAGCCACTGTCGCGTACTTATCCCCCTCATATCCTTCGTAGCTGCTCCCATATCCTCCTGCCAGACCAACCTCCCCACCCGATACGCTCACAGTGTGTTCACTGTCTTCATCCTGTCCAACCACTTTACTTGTCTCTCCTGGATGCCTTGTCATGCCGCCGACACCCGCAGCATACTGTTCCTGTCCTCCTGCTCGTTCCGAATATTCCTCGCTGTTCTCTTCATCCTCATCTTCAAAATACTCATGGACTTCCTCTACGCGGCCCGGCACAGTGTAGGCATAGCGCTGCTGGCCCACCAAGGGGAGATGTCCCTTGGTGGCCACATCATAGCGCGATCGGCTGCCCAAGGCAACTGGTGTTTTGGTCGTCGTTGGCCTGGTCTTTCAAAGGGGCTGACGGTACGACCAGTCCGCGGCACGGACCCTTCTCTCCTATCTGCCCAGCTTTCGGACCAGGCGGGGTATCGTGGATCGTGATCGAAGGCCCTGTCTCCACGGTTCTCGAAAGCATGCATTTAGGCTCTGATATGCAGTCCTCTGGATGCACAACCGGCTCTCTGCCCGCGATCACATTACTGTCGAAAAACCCGAGGACGTCAACGAGGTTAGGCAACTTCACTTCCAATGTCCCTGGTGGGTTGAACATATCAACCAGCGACTTTCCAAACCCCGCGTGTTTGGCCCATCGAAGAGCGACGTGTTTAGTGTTTGGTATTCTTTCCCCTCTTCCATTCAGGACCATCGTCAACTCGAAAGTTGCAAACGGCACATTTTCCCCAGTCCACCTCACCAGGCCGCCAACCGGCACAATATTTTCTTTGATGACCACGTATAGAACAAGGGCACTCGATGGTTGTCCGGTCCCCCCCCCCAGTCCAACATCCAGAACTTGTCCTTGTGGTCAATCACGGGGACATCGTCTCGCCGACCCGCGGCAGTCATTTCACCAGACGGTTTACGTTCTCCAGACGGTTTGCGTCCGGGCATAACCTCCACTGCAGATCTCCCCTGCTGTGGACCAGGCACACGTTCCTGACCCGCAGGCCCGCCAGTCATCAACACAGCCTTATCTGGTCCAGAGCCCCGAACACGAGTCGACGGAGTGCCCGTGGAAGGTGCACCCCTCGAAACCGGGGTGCGTTGCCGCTTAGACCCCGGTGCCTCCAGACTCCCAAACCCAGCGGCCGGCGTCCCCTTCGATTTTTTCTAGCACTGCCTAATCTGAAAGCAATACAACACATCACCGCGAAGCAAAAAATCAGAAGGCCGCACAACGTTGGCATGGCACGAGGAGCAGAAAAGTTCCAGATAGTGATAAGGTAACATCTCCTTCGTGACAAGGCAGCCGCGATCGTGTTCAACTCGATCATGATCGTGCCCGTGGTCAACACGATCTCGTTCGGCGCGAGAGTGACAGGCCAGCTCGATCGTGTTCGACTCGATCGTGAGTCCAGGCTTATCATGTTCGACTCGATCATGTTCGACTCGATCGTGCTCGACTCGATCGCGTTCGACTCGATAATGTTCGACTCGATCGTGCTCGACTCGATCGTGCTCGACTCGATCGCGTTCGACTCGATCGTGTTCGACTCGATCGTTTTCGAGTCGATCGTGAGTCCAGACAATCGTGTTCGACTCGATCGAGTTCGACACGATCGTGCTCGACTCGATCGAGTCGAACACGATCGTGTCGAACGCGATCGAGTCGATCATAATCGAGTCGGACACGATCGAGTCGAACACAATAAACCACGATGGAGTTCGATTCGTGTCGGATCCGATCGTGTTGGATCGNATCGAGTCGATCATAATCGAGTCGGACACGATCGAGTCGAACACAATAAACCACGATGGAGTTCGATTCGTGTCGGATCCGATCGTGTTGGATCGTGTTGGACATGATCGTGAGTACAGGCGATCGTGAGTACAGACGATCGTGAGTCCACATCGAGTCGATCATAATCGAGTCGGACACGATCGNCATCGAGTCGATCATAATCGAGTCGGACACGATCGTGAGTGCAGGCGATCGTGAGTCCAGACGATCGTGTTGGATCCAACCGTGAGCCCAGGCGATCGTGTTCGACTCGATCGTGTTCGACTCGATCGTGTTCAACTCGATCGTGTTCGACTCGATCGTGTTCGACTCGATCGAGATCGACTCGATGGAGGTCGATTCGATCGAGTTCGACTCAAACGTGGGGGGCCAGCACGACAGTTCGACACGACCGGGCTGGCAAACAGAACACGGGAACGGGACGGCGTATCCAAAAGCAAACAAACAGAACACGGGAGCGGCGTAGCTAAAAGTCACATCAAACAAAGCAGAAGAATCGAAACCCGGCATCGACAATTTCACATCAAACCCATTGCTTTCATAACACACACAGTCTCAGTGCAATCAAGGCACATCAATTGGAAGCCTACATCCATCATCAATTCGAGGCATTCAATTGGCAAGGCAGGCAACCGGCACCCGCAACGAGCGACTAACAGTACGCTCCACCGATCACTAAACACACACATGCACACATAAGAGAGAGAAAGAGAGAGAGAGGTTAAACCGGCGTCGACAAGCTCACATCAAACTCAATGCTCGCACGCATACACAGTCTCAGGTGTCACTTTTGCTGAACAACTGAATAGCTAAAATGTCCTACACTGTTCATCTCCCATGACCTCCCCCTCGACCTCGCCTATCCCTTCGCCCCGAAACCGTACACTGCGTTCAGGGATGAACCGTACGTCAGGAGCTGTGGACTGCACAGGGTTGTAGTGGAGGAGAAGCAAGACACGTATCGTGCACGAACGAAACCACATGATCTCGCTAAAGTTGGACCGATGGCGTCTCTAATGACCTTCACGTACTCCTCGACCTCCTCCCAATGTCGGGGTGTATCGACCTGCCCCGCCAGTTTCACGTCAAACCTACCGTTCCTCCAACCATGCGTTAACATAATCGAGTCTCCGTCAACGATGAGCTCGTTCCTGGACACGTAAATACTTGCTTCAGCTGAAGTCTTACTTCTATTTCTTACCGAAACACAAAGAACCCTAGCGAAAGAGAAACGACAGAGATCAACATGTACGCAGAAGTACGACACACTCCCCGTCAAGTTCTCCTGGAAAGGAAGGGGATATTCCTCTAGAAACTGGTTTTGTTTCGCGCGGTCGAGCAACTCCATCTTCCTCGATGGTCCCCACAAGCGCGGTGGACACGACACGTTGTGCACAGTCAACGATAAAGACCGGTCTCGGGTACGAAATGCCGCAGACAACACCGGCGTGTGTTTCGTCACGAGGATGTGGTCGAGGAAGATAAATGTCCCTCATTCCTGGCTGGATGCTAGTCGATTATCAGATGCCCAAGGGCAGTCTTTCATTGTGTTCTCCCAGTCCAATTCGGACCATGCATCGAAGGGCTTTACAAGCCAGGGCATAACGCTCATCCAAGGGTCCGTGTCGAAGTCTTCTCTACGGGCCCCAAGTATAGTTGTCTCCCGCCTTGAACCTCGCAGGTACCTTGCACTAGCATTCAAAGGGAACGAGTAATCGAAGTGGTGAGCCTTCGCAAACGTCGTACACACACAGACGATTGACGACCACAACAGGAAGTTATTGCTAAGGTCGAACGCGCTCACACACCGAGGAGCCATCGCAGTTACACACAACAACCAGGCATTGCGAATTCCCAAAACAGAAGGAGAAAACACACAGAACGACAAATTTCATCGGCGGCTATCCATCGTCGCGTTCCTCGCGACGAGGCCGATGACGGACAATCGAGAAGCTCAAACGGATGGCCAGAGGTCTTGGCTCTCGTCGGTGGACGAGTTCGTAGAGCTTGTCTCGACGCCGGTCGGCTTGCCACCGTCGAGTCGTACTCGTCAATGGCCAGCACGCCGTCGTCGAGTAGAACTCGACAGCGGCCAGCATGGGCCATCGAGTCCAACACATCGGCAGCGGCATGTCATACGGCCATTGTCGAGTCGAACTCGACAACGGACCATGGTCATCGAGTCGGACCCGACAACGGCCCCGGGCATTTGTCGAGTTCGACTCGACGTCGGTCGTACGACTTGCCGCTGGGCCACCGTCGAGTTCGACTCGACGGCCTGGGTTCATCATCGGGTCGGAATCGACAATGCCAAGACGAAATCGACGACGCCCTGGGGTCATCGTCGAGTCCGACTCGACAGTGGTCGGAGGCTTTGGCGCTTCCCTGCCGTCGTGTTCGACTGGACGACTGATGGCGACGGCCTGGCCATTGTCGAATCCTACTCGACGGTGACCCCAGACCGTCATGTATTCCATCTCTACAATAACTCGTGTCCTTTGTCGTTTCCGACTGGATAATGACCACAGGCCGTTGTCGAGTCCGTCTCGACGACGTCCCCGGGCCATTATCGAATTCGATTCGACAATGACCAAAGGTCGTTGTCGAGTCCGGCACGACGACGACCCCGGGCCATTGTCGAGTTCGCTTCGACATTTACCACAGACCATTGTTGAGTCCATTGTCAAGTTCAACTCGACAATGGTCTGTGGTCATTGTCGAGTCCGACTCGACGACGACCTCGGACCATTGTCGAGTTCGCTTCGACAATGACCACAGGCCATTGTCGAGTTCGACTCGACAATGGCCTGTGGTCATTGTCGAGTCCGACTCGGCGACGATCCCGGACCATTGTCGAGTTCGCTTCGACAATGACCACAGGCCATTGTCGAGTTCGACTCGACGATGACCACAGGATGTTGAGTCCGACTCAACGACGACCCCGGACCATTGTCGAGTTCGCTTCGACAATGACCACAGGCCATTGTCGAGTTCGACTCGACGATGACCACAGGATGTCGAGTCCGACTCGACAATGACCCCGGTCCATTGTCGAGTTCGACTCGACGATGAACACAGGCCATTGTCGAGTCCGACTCGACGATGACCCCGGCCCATTGTCGAGTCCGACTCGATGATGA